AAGCATCCTGGGATAGTGTAGATTTCAAATTATTAAAATCATGACCCCCGGGGGTAGGGCGGGGCCACAATAGGGAATCCAAGTTTTACATTGAAATATGTAAGAAAAATCTTTAAAAATCTTCTTCTCAAGAACCACTGGGCAAGAAAAGCTGAAACTTATATGGAAGCATCCTGGGGTAGTGGAGATTCTAAATTGTTCAAATCATGACCCCCGGGGGTAGGGCGGGGCCACAATAGGGAATCCAAGTTTTACATTGAAATATGTAAGAAAAATCTTTAAAAATCTTCTTCTCAAGAACCACTGGGCAAGAAAAGCTGAAACTTATGTGGAAGCATCCTGGGGTAGTGGAGATTCTAAATTGTTCAAATCATGACCCCCGGGGGTAGGGCGGGGCCACAATAGGGAATCCAAGTTTTACATTGAAATATGTAAGAAAAATCTTTAAAAATCTTCTTCTCAAGAACCACTGGGCCAGAAAAACTGAAACTTATGTGGAAGCATCCTGGGATAGTGGAGTTTTTAATTGTTAAAATCATGAACCCCAGGGGTAGGGCGGGCCCACAAAATGTATTACAAGGGGGAAATCTGGTAAAGAACAGCATGCCAAAGTTACTCAGGTGAACGATGTGGCCCATGGGCCTCTTGTTTTCTGAATACAGTCTTTTGTATCAAATACTCGGCCTATTTAGAGGGCGTTAAAAGCTAATGATTACCAAAAAATTAAAAAATAAATAAATAAATAAATAATTTATCATCAAAATGTGCATATTCGCTGCTTTTATCCTTGACGGAAATGAAATAAGAGCACCTGAAGTACAATATCCATAACATAGTATAACAGGTTTCACAATAAACGTCAGTTAATGAAATTGTTATTTTTCCAAGTTTTTACAAAGGGGTAGGGGGGTGTACATCTACTTCTGCTCCAAAGCTGAATGCGGAATTTTAAACAAAGTATTTTTTCCAGCTATAAGCCTGTAGGCTGTCCGTAGAAACTACAATATATATTTTTGGAATTTTTCTGTTGGAAGTGGTATAAATTCAATTCCCCGCGCTTGCGCGGGATTTCATCTTGTACTTAGCTATTTATACCAACCAAAAACGACAAGATTTAGTTAATATTATGTTTTTGAATGATTCCATTCATTTCTTGGACCTGAAATTAAACTTTAAATATAGATATTAAGTAATCATTATCTCTAAAGTTCAAGTCATAAGCTTACTATGACGTCATATTGTATAGGTCGGGGCCACAATAAATGGGATATCAAATTTTTACAATGGAATATATAGGAAAAAATCTTTAAAAATCTTCTGCTCAAAAACAGCAGAGTCATGATTAGTCATATTAATATGGAAGCATTCTCAGGTAGTGTAAATTCAAATTTCTTTAAATCATGACCACCGGGCGTAGGTAGGGGCCACAATGGGGGATCAAATTTTTACAAAGAATATATAGACAAAAATCTTTTGAAAAATATCTAAAAAATCTTCTGCTCTAGAAAAGTAAAGTCATTAGTTTTATTGATATGGAAGCATCCTTAGATGTGTAAAATTCAAGTTTGCCACACACATCCAACCCCCCCCCCCCAATACTAAATTGATTTGTGCTTTTTCCTAGCCATTGTGCTCAGGTGAGCGATCTGGCCCATGAGCCTCATTTTTTTTCTGGAAAGATTTTTTTTCAAATAAATTATTCAATAATTGCATATGAAAAAAATATGTTTTTTAAGATAGTCCGATCCTCGGGTTCCGAAAATCAGCTTTTAAGTAATTGATAATGCTCACAAAAATGTCTCTGGTTTCACATAGTAACATGAAATATAACAAATAAATTTTCAAGAAATGCCAATAAAAACACAGCTATGCATTTTCTAATTGAAAATTGATCAACAAATATAATTTAGGATAGAAAAATATAAGTATCCAGGCATTTGGAGAAAACTGTATCTTTTTACGCTTATACAGTATTTTAGTTCCTCTTTTTACTTCAGTTGTCATATAATACACAATGTGAAAAGCTTGTGCTTTCATTGCTAGAAATCACATATCACATCCAATTTCATATCATGCTAATAAGCAGACGTATCAAATGCTAGACTAAAGGAAATTCAATTTCTAAGTAAAAATGAATTCATTTATTTTTTTTATTGGGGCTACAAATGTCAACTTTTTACAAGACCGTTTCTAAAACTTCAAAGAATTCAAATCATATTAATATGCGTAAAATAAAAATTGTTGCTCGAAAACATATCAATTTCAAGCTTCATTTTGAGACTTTTTAAATAAAAAAATAAATTTAAGAGTTATCCTTCCTGGCTGAGTATCGGATATCCTTAAAATATAGATTAGCACATAGATATAGAGGATACTTTCCTGCCAGCGAAATTTTCTTATAAATTAATCATTTTTCAGATGGCATTATCTAAAATGGATATTCACCGCGGAGCCCAGCACTTCTTAGAGTGTGGCATTGAAGAATGTGAAAGAAACTGTGAGTTCTATTGCAACCCTTGTCATCAAAGATTGTGCAAACAATGCAAAGATGAACATCTGAAAAGTCTAGAAAACCAAAACCATGAGATAGTCCATTACCAGCAACGTAAACAACAACTTCCTGTTGAAAAATGCAAGATCCATCCCAATAAAAATGTGGACATGTACTGTGAAGAATGCCAAATTTCATTATGTTCTAAATGTGCTACAAAGGGAGACCACCAAAGACATACCTTTGTTGATCTAGAAACAATGTATGAAGAAAAGTTTGTGCTATACCAAAAAGAAATCTCCAAAATTCATGAGTATTTTCTTCCCATATCACAAGATTTCCAGAAAGAAATAAAACAAGATACTGTAGAAATCAAAAACATCATTGACAATATCAGAACATCCATGAAGACTGAAGGTGAAACCCTGAAAAGTCTGGTGGACACAGTCATATCTGAGAACATGAAGCAGCTAGACCAGATAGAGTGTTCACTGTTCGAAGATCTAAACTCCCAAGACAAGACATTGGATGATTACATCACTTATCTTATTAACTTTGTCAAAGAGCTCCACAGATGCCTGTCCTCTACAGAACTCCAGAAATTAATGTCTGAGAAAAAACCAAAGATCCGATCCATACCAGAGACAACAAAACCAGTCACACCAGGATTTACTGCTGGTCAATACAGCAAAAGTGATGTCACTCAGTTACTTGGTAAAATACATGTTCCCAACACTAAACCAGAGAAAAGAGAAATAAGGTCCATTGAAAGTGTCCCCAATACAACAATGAAACATACATATAAACAGATGAAAGAAGACAGGAAGAAATCTGTCAAGAAACAAACAATGTCTCTATCTGCATCTGTCACCAAGGTCAGGGAGTTCAATGTACCAGGTGTTGATCATGTAGGGCATTTATCACTAGATCAATCAGACAGACTCTGGATCAGTGACAGGGATGGTAATCTCGTCCAAACAGATCTACAGGGGAATGTAATACAGAAGATAAAAACCAGTGGTAGATGTGAAGGTTACCACACAGTCACACGGGACGGGGATGTGATATTTACAGACAGAGACAGGAAAGTCATCAACAGGATAACACAGGATAATAATATCACTAAATTCATTAAAACTGGTGATTGGAGACCATACAGCATACACTCCTCCCACATCAACGGGGACATACTGGTGGGGATGGTGACCGAAGAAAATGCTAAAGTCACCAGGTACAACAAGACAGGAAAAGAACTACAGAACATACAGACGGAAAACAAAGGACAGAGACTGTATAGAAAACCACACTACATCACAGAAAACATCAATGGAGATATCTGTACATCAGACTATTGGAAAGGAGTAGTGGTGGTGAATAAATCAGGACAACACAGGTTCTCCTACACAGGTCAGGGGTCAAAGTTCAGTCCCTATGGAATCTGTACTGATGTCCTCGGTCACATACTTGTGTGTGATTATGACAGTGACACTGTTCATCTCCTTGATCAGGACGGTCAGTTCTTGTCTCTATTACTCACGCAACAACAACGGGTAAAGTATCCCCGTAGTGTGTGTGTGGATGGTGAGAACAATCTCTATGTGGGACAAGGTCTCACCAACACACTTACAGTGTACAAGTATCTCCAGTAAAAAAAAAACTATTGCTGTCATTCTTTTATACACTTTTTGTGACATATGTACTGTTATAACATATTTCAGTCTTAAACAATCATACACGTTGAATCTTGTGTATCAATGGAACTGGAAAAGAATTGTTCTGAGTTACATAATGTAATTATTACACGTACTAATAAACACTAGATTGAAAATAATCTATTTGTAAAAGGTGAATTCCTTAACATAATAAAAAATACAAGTATGTAGAAGTAAATGATATTGTCAGTCAATTTTGCATTCTGAATTATTTAACAGAGGTTATGAATATGTATTATTCTACTGGGTCGTTCTTCCGTCCACAAATTTTCTCTTTTTTTTCAAATAACTTTTTATGGTTGACCAAATAAGTTCAATGTTCGGTGAATAGGCAGTAAGACATATTTTGATGCTAAGTTTGGTTCTCTATGTCATCCGGTTTGGAGCTGTGGTTGGTGGGGGTAGATTCCTTAACTTTATATAAGAATGAATGGGCAAAGAGAGATAACTGCTTAGAATGTTCCTATTGTCAACGGTGATAGCTACAATGAGCCCCTCGGGGTTAAATAACTTTCCTCTTGAAGAAAATCCAGGGCATTATCCTTATCTGTCACATTGAGATTAATTAACACCTCTGTCTGCAGATGAAGTTTGTTTTGAAGTTAAGGTCAATTCTGAATGTTAACATTCTATCAAATGTGAATTTAAATAATTTCCATTCTTTATTTTGGTTAAAATACTGTACACAATGAGTTATGATTCAATTGAATTCTAAGAAAAAAAAACAAGATATATATAAAGATATTTTTTATTATTTTATTTTTTCTTTCTCTCTCTCTTTTTTAATCTTGTATGTTTGTTGATATTAAATTTCCTATAAAAATGAATATGCCTGAGTAAAATGAAATAATTAATAATACTACTGAAGTGTAAAATTTGATTATTCTCGGGACCAAAAATATTTAACAAAGTTTCACGTTCAAGTTCACAATATGCAAGTTCATTAACAGAAATTATTAAGTAATAAAATAACAAGGGGTATTAAAGAAGAGATTTTTGAATTTGTGGATAATGGTATGAGTTGATCAGTTTGTTTTGCTGCAGAGTTCCTCATGTTACTATGAAGATAATTTTGTTGCAGACTGTTATGAACTACCCGTACTTGTATCAATCAGGAATTTAATATTTTATTTTACAAATCATAGAACATGAGACAAATTTTAAAGTGACCCGATTTTGGATTTTTTTATCTATATTGTATATTTAATACAGGTACCATTTTTTGTTTTTTTTCTTTATAGTTAATCAAATCTTTTTTCTTATGAAGAAGTTGTTCCCATCTTTCAATGTGCATGATATATCCAAGTTTAACTGTAACAAGTAATTGTAGTTAATAATGTCTTGAATTATTATCAGTATGTTTGATAAATGGTTCTTTGAATTTGCAAGTTTTAGATTGAAAGAGGGTAGATATTTTATGTTATATGAAAAACTTTGATGGACTTTGTGTATGTAAATTTATTGAGTATCAGATCATATTGCGGGTTTATTGTATTTTAAAATGTGTATTCTTTAAACAAAGTTGTTTTACATGTAGCTAGGTACTGTTGTAACGTTTTTACTATGTTCTAATGATTATCAATTGGGTCCGCTTAGGTTTCCTTCCTAAAAATCACGCTTTCAATGTCAATTCAAAACAAACTTCAATAATATCAATGACACTAAAAGAACAACTGACTGAAATCCACTATATCTACTTTTTCCTAGGTCCTATCTGGATAATGATTGGTAACTAAACAAAAACGAACTATAACAAGAGAATCGCCTATAATCAAATCAATGATTAAATCTAAAACCTTATCTCTGTAGCTGCAGACTGAGTGGTTTAACTAACAATTCTGTTGTTTCCCTACACAGTCTGCAACTACCTAAAAACACACCCTAAAAAGTCACTGATCGGATGAGACACCTTTATTATGTTATGTCACCAAGACACGATCTAAAGTCACCAAGACACAATCTAAAGTCACCAAAACACTAGTTACTGAGACACTAAGGAACTAGATCCCTGAGCTAATTGGTCTAACTAACAATTCTGTTGTTTTCCGACACAGCTCAAGAACCTAGCCCAAGAAGTGTTACCCAAGCAATGAGTAACAAATAACTGGTAAGCTTTGAATGACTGTAATGTAAACGTTGATTAGCTTAATATGAAATGATTCGATTGGCTGATTCCAGACGCCTTTCAGTCCACTATGATTATTCAATTTTATTATACTGGGATATTGTGCATATGGAAACATGTAAGAAGTAAAATGATTCACTAGTCACTAATGTTTGGGGTCTTAATTATTTTATTTTTATTTTTGAGGTCTCTTTGTGAACTCTTTTTGTACAAGGGCGTATACCGGTATGACCTACTTAATTTTTGTTTTTGATTTATCGTTGGGTGTAATTTATTAGAGATACAGAAGAAGGATATTGCATGGAGTAACTGCATGTGCTTATTTGTTTATTATCAAGACTGATTTATTAAAATAATCGGTTATGTATAAGTGAGTAATGTAGCATGTATATATATATATATATATGTATATATATACTCAGAAGCAGTCTTAACATTGAGAAAACATGCAGACCATATCTGATTTAATATACTGTACAAGTGAAATTTTAGCGAGACTCAAATTTAGCGATTTGTTCTGAAATATCGGTATGTAATTTTAGCGAAAAGTAATTTTAGTGATTTTATGATACCGAAAAATATAATGGTAACCTCCTATGTAGAAGAAATTTTTAGCGATGTTCAATGTTAGCGATCTGAACACCCACACTAAAAACGCCATAACTGAATCCTCGCTAAAATTTCTGTTTATATGGTATTTCACAGTTTTGTGTACTGCCATTGACAAGATTTTAATGTTCACACAAAGAAGGTGGGTGTTATGAATAAGAGTCTACAAAGTATTGATCTTTAAATTGTGAATGATAGATCTAAGAAATCCAGAAAATATTGATAGTCTAATAATAATAAATAATATTAATATTTTAGAAACATCACAGAATATTTCTGTGGTTACAGACTAAGGCTGTGGATTAAGATATACTATCGATAGATTGATGACTTTTGCTCATGACCACTATAGAATTGTAAAATATGTTTCATTAATGTTATGTGATATTATTTATTAATTTTATTTTATTTTTAATAATGTATCATATTTTGTTTTCATAAATTGATGGCCAAAATATTATATCCCATAAAATACTTAATAACAATTGACTCTTGTCAGAGACTGAATGTGTTTATAATCCACTTTAGTTGCTGATGCATATCTTTTCTATGTTTTTCAAATAAATTGGCAACATTTTTAGTTCTTCCAGTTTATTCTAATACATCCCTTATTGTGATCAATATTTTCATCGTTAAAATTGGTATTTATTTTCATGAGATACAATAACTTTGAAGCACTGGCAACCTTACGCAGATACAAGGCTGATAAACATCCACATTTTTTATTTCATGTTCAAACAATATTCTAATTAGTATTCAAAATTTGAAGGATGATTTCCTTCATTTATTCAAGAATAAAATAATTATTTTTAGCATCATTTTGTAATCAATATTTCTAATAAGTTTTGTTCATGTTTGTTGGTATTATTTTGTTCTTTTATTTTTATTGATATTGATACCAAGGAACACAAACTGTTATCTACATGTATTAACTAGTATTTGAAAATATATTATTTTAAATAATTATGCTATATTGCTTGTTATAACTGACCGCAAACTTGAATCAACATGTATGTATTTGTTAACAGCAGAAATAAAGATCAGAGGTAAAAGGTGTATGGCTTACATACAGAAAGGTATCATGGAGAGAAATTAAAATGAGTGGGGTCAACTAATTAATACCATCAGCACAACACTTGCATGGAAAGTTACATGTACAGACATAGAAAGCTACAATGTAACACAGAAGTCTTTCTCTAAACATTAGTTATTCTTGTGAAAGAAAAAGAAGTAAATTGATCTGTGTACCCAAAATATGTTTTACATTTCATTTGAAACGCAATGAAATGTATAGAAACATTTGAAATAATGTAAAAATGAAGGACCATGTTGATTTCATCATGGACTTTTTTGTTCGGGATTCGTTCGTCATGCCGGAAATGAAGTATATGTAAAGTCTTGACCAATGGTATTTCTTTTTGTATCAATTTGGTAATATTCTGTTCACATTTTGAAATATGTGAACAAGCGCACAGCTAATCAAGGGTGAAGACAGTAGGCAATGCATCAAACCCAAAAAAGTGAATCTCAAAATACAGTTTAAATTTGATATTGAATTAACATTATAAATTTCAAGTGCATTTCAAAGCAAAACACATGAAATAATTATTTCAATAGTGGTTGAGGGTGCATTTCAAAACCAAATACAGGTTGTAACGACTATTGAAATATACGTTCACTATTGAAATAATTATTTCAATAGTGGTTGAAAATGCATTTCAAAACCAAACACAAGTTTTTGCTACCACTTTTGAAATAACGTTCACTATTGAAACAATGATTTCAATAGAGATTTTAGATGTCAAAACCTAAACCAGGTTGTAACCACTATTGAAATAATGTTCACTTTTGAAATAAAAGATTTCAATAGTGATTGAACTAATGATTTCAATAGTGATTGAACTAATGATTTCAATAGTGATTGAACTAATGATTTCAATAGTGATTGAACTAAAAATTTCAATAGTGATTGAAATAATTATTTCAATAGTGATTGAAATAATTATTTTAATAGCTGCTGACAATGATTTCAATTCCAAAACCACATTGCAAGCCTTATTGAAATGACCCCACTATTGAAAATTTTTCTTTATCATTTCTTACATAACAAATCAATTTTTTGAGTTTAAAATATTTGTAATTTTATGCTTTAATTTCTTTCTAGAAATACTATTTATACACGGATATCTGTGATTTAATTACATTTAATAAAGGCAGTGATTGTTATATATGATGATTGTTTTTAACTCTTAAAATTGACCTACATTAAAATATTATAAAAAGTAGAAATTTAAGTTAACTAAAAGATGTAAATCAAGGAGATACTATTGAAAACGAACTGGAGGACTCACAAAAATGTATAGCAGGAATTTTACCTCAAATTTATAACAGATTTGTCATACAGTTTTTTTTTTTCAACCGAATAGAATTCATTTGCAGGCACGTATAGTATAGTTTTAGAAAGGGGACAACAAGAAAGGTTCCAACTTCTTCCACAGCCAAATTTTATTCATACTACATAAATTACTACATAACCCCGATTTGACTATACTGTAACAAAAAGGAGTGGGCAACCAGCCTTTGAATGAACAATTTCAACAGTAAAAGGTTATGTTTGTAGAAAAGTGGAAGGGTTCACACCCCCCCCCCCCCACCCCCATACTACATGCCTGATTTGAGTTAATCAATGTGTACATTTGTGCAACATTTTGTGATTTCCCGATGAGATTTACAACTCAAAGGCAATTAAGAATGAAATCGAGCTCAGTACAGTGAGCTATTATTAATTGAACAACCATTCCATAGACAATAAAACCTAATTAACTATAATGGTAAGATTCGGTCCTTGCAACATTTTAGTCAGTATCTGATTTGTATTAATGTAGTGCCAATAGTCAATTAAAGCAAGGGTTCTGGATTTTTAATTTTTTTTATTTATTTATTTATTTTTTTTTTTTTTTTGTCTTTAAATGTGGA